CTCTCTCTGCCTCTCTCTCTCTGTCTCTGTCTCTCCCCCCCTCTGTCTCTCCCTCCCTCTTCACCACTCTCTCTTTATCCCTCTCTCTCTCTCACCCCCCTCTCCCCTCACCACTCTCTCTCTCCCTCTCCTCCCTCTCCCCCCCCTCTCTCTCTCTCTCTCTCTCTGCCTCTCTCCCCCCACCAATGGTATGACATTTCCTGAGAAATTCATCAGATCTTAGAGTTGTTTGTCCTTCCCCACACCGCAGGCATCTCTCAGCCTTTGTCAGTCACTCTCTTTAGTTTTAGTCTTAGTAGAGTTTTTACGGCGCTCACAACCAGCATTAGATCATATGAGCGCCAAAGTCCCTCTCTCTGTCCGTGTTGTCTGTGTTCCAGGAAACCTCCAAACGTCCTTGACCTCAGGAAATCCCCAGACGCACCACGAGCTATTCTTGTATCTCTGAAAAACGCAAAAGAAAAATAAATGAGATTACATTATTCGTTAAGAGTGCAGGGTTTTCTTTTTTAAAATGACATTTTAATATAGGCGTTTTTACGTCCTCCCCCCCCCCCCCCCCAAAAAAAGTAAAATTAAATAAAAATTAAAAATAAAAATACAGAAAAACAAAGCACAAAAATCACAATACATAAATAAATAAATAAATAAATAAATAAATAAATAAATAAATAAATAAATAAATAAAATCGTCACAATTTAGATCATTTAGAAGTGCTTCGACCCTGCTGTCAGAGCCAACCAGTGCAGTTGAGAGTGATACAACATTCTAGCAATAGAAAGACTGAGGTACTAGGTGAAAATTCTCCCTAACACAGGAATGCATCCCATCCCCACCCCCACCCCCTGTGTTTTTTTTTCGAAATAATTGTGATGCATCGTTGTTAAATTAGGCACTCGTAATAAATAAAGAAATCAAAGGAATCGACATTTTTTTGGCAGATGGACAATTTTTTTTCTGATTTTCTTTTCTTTTTTTTTTTTTACTCAACACCATCTATGTTCATTTAAAAGACATTTTAGTGTGGATTTTTACTGAAAAACGTTGATTAAAGGCACAAAAAGGTCAATTTTCAGTTTCCTAGGATTCTCGGGCTATGGAAGTTACCAAACTGGCGGCGGCAATTTTGTCGCTAACTATACCTCTGAAACCAAGCGACCCTGACCTCTGTCGATCGCAAATATTTCGACTTCTATTCAACATAGATGAATACTTTTTCACCTAAAGATAGGCAAATAAACAGGCTTTAAGATGGTAGCAATAACCCCACATGCCCATAAATTGACAAGCGCCTGATCTCGCCATGTCGTGACACTGTCCAAGTAGACTACCTCTCTAAGATGACCACCGTTTCCTTGGCAGCGGATGGACGTCTTTTAACATTCTCCACTGAACTTTATGAAGTATTTTCCTCTTCGAGAAATCGAACCCACATCCCCCCCCCCCTTCCGGACAGTGCTACTGACTGAAGTGTCTTTAGGCCATTCCCAAAAGGAGGGGGGGGGGGGGGGATATTGACATGTTCTTATGTACGGTAGAATTGTAAATGAGCTGGCTTATCAATGCCATGCTCATACTGTGCCGGGACAACATAGGGGGACCTGCTGCTTTTTCTTTCCTCATCCTTACTACTCATCGTTTTCCCTCTACTTTTTTTGTATGTTTGTCATTCTCTTGTGAATTGCTATTTCCGGGGTGCCTTGATAGTCGAAGCAGACCCTGTGCTGTTGAAGCTGGACAGGTGAGCAGAATAAGTCTGATTCCCCGTTTTGACTTCTCTGTTGACATCAACCCCTTGGCGCTCGTATGACATTATTATGCAGTTGCGAGCGCCGTAAAACCTTACTAAGACAATTGAACCCACGTCTTCTGCGTGCAACAACACAACAGTGAGCGATGCTAACCCCAGGCTAACCCCAAACTAACCATTAAAACTGAGTGACCCTAACCATTACTGTTGAGTGACCCTAACCATTACAACTGAGTGAGCCTAACTATTACAACTGAGTGAGCCTAACTATTACAACTGAGTGAGCCTAACCACCACAACACCGAATCCGCGGCCTCTAATTCTACAACTCAGTACACGGCGTCTAGCAATAGTAAGTAGGCTGTGATAAAGGAGGAGAAGGGCGCTTGTTTCGAGGATTTCGACCTGCTCCGATCTGCGATAAGAAGGAAAGGGAAGCAGACGAGAAGGAGCTCTCTTGGGGCCCTCGACATGGCAGTGGGGTCGTGACGAGATGGCCAGGGGAGATTATTCCCGGCGCCCGGCTAAAGTGGTGTATCCAGCAGAGTTATCACGCACAACTAACAAGATGGCGGTCTGAACGAGGTGCAACTATGTGGAGGACTGACATTCTTGGAGGTGACAGCCGGACTGTCGTCTGCTAGGGGGGAGTCGTCCGGGGGTGTGTGGGAAACAAAAAAGGGAAAA